TCAATCTTGGGAAGCCACTGGTGTTGAAACATGCCTGGAGCCGGGAGCCAGACAAGCTAGTGCAGAAGGGGATATTTTGAGCTTTTTGTTATGTAGCACAGCCCTGCATAAGCACCCACACCCTCCACCTTCCAGAATTCCCGAATTATTTACCCGCTCATCACTGGGAGGGCAGGTCTGGATAGAGGTAAGAAATATGCCTGGGGCTGGATGGAATTTTATCCCAAACTGAATTCGCCCTCGTATTCCCCCCATCCTTGGGATATGCCTGTTATCCTTTCAGTGATACTGCTTTTGGTGCCAAAACTTGCACCGCTTATTGCATCTGTGCTCCCCAATTTCTCATTTTCAGTACAAATCCACAAGAAAGGGGCTGCACTTCGGCATCAAGTGATATATTCTGGGTCGTGAACTTAATGGTGAATGGCAGGCAGGCCTTAGCCTGGGTCAGGCTACTCACACTGTGCAGGGGGGCAGGATTTGGCTCTCTGCGCTGGCTTGCGAGATACTTTCTGATCCATTGCATTGAATCTATTGACCACATCTAACATCTGGATCATCAGACTGCTGGAATATTTAAAATACTTAGGGATGTTGCTTTAAATTAGACTGCTCGTGGTGAGTTTGTCTGAGAAAGATTTGTTCCCAATTTGTTCATGTTAGAAGAGCAAGACTCTGAAAGATCTCAGTGGTAATGTAAATCATTCAAATACTATAAAATGGAATGGGATATTTGTTGAGGAAGCCAAAAAGAAGTGCCAAGAAATGCAGTCGTTGCATGCTGTGCTACAGGAGTCCTCGAAACCTTTATCCATTTCAGGAGAGCCCTGCTAGTGTCAGCAGCTATTTTCATTAATGCTATGCTCTCTAATTAAATGCGGATTTAAAAAAGCAATCTCAGTCTTGCAACCTTAACCATACAGCAGGGATTCTACAAAGACCTCTTCCTTCCTTCCTCATCAAACAAGTGCCTGTTTACAGATACAGCTCAGTCACTTAATCCACCTTTCTGGGGACAAAAAAAAAACTTCAAAGCTTCACACCCTGCTTGCCATGACAGATTAATTTCAAGCATCAATGCCACAGAATAAACCCATCTTAAACAGACAGGCATAAGGTGTATTTTCTTGTTGCTCACCAGCTAATACTTGATGGGTTCATAATCTACCCGTAGAAATAGCCGGCCGAAGAGCTGTCAGCCTGCAAGCAGAGCATCGGGACCAGATGAAGATGTTCCTGCTTTCAACACGAGCAGTTTCTCCTTGAAACGCTGCCACTGAACATTCACTCGAGGACTATGGTTATGATCTGGCAAGCAGTCAAGGCATGTACTTACTTTGCCAAACCTGCATTCGATACCGTTGTTCTTCCCCAACTCACAGTGTGCTCAGGGCAGTGGCAGCCACTTACGTGTCCATACGGCGCGTTGTTTGATATGACTCAACCCTGAGCTGACTGCTGCTAATTCTCCTACTGTTAGTCTGTCTGTAGCAAAAAAAAGACAGATATTTGATCGCTTAACTGCAATTTCATGCTTGCAGGGGGAGTGCACAAAACATCATTTCAGGAGCCTCAAAGTCTAAGAAAATCTGCGAGGAGATTAATACATGGGCAGTAGCGTTAGCAGTTGCAATCACCAGTGCCTGATTGGTATATGTAATTAACAAGTGATAAAAAGCTTCCAAAGGTAACCCTCAAGTCCCTGAGTGGACACTAAAGATCAAGGGCAATTTTAGATGTAACCAGCAGAGTTTCTCCATCTTCTGTAGAGTGGATTATATTGTGAAAATGCACCTAAGGGCAAGTGCTGGAGCAGCGTGGGGTGCAGCGCACTGCAGGGAGAGGGGCCATGCGGAACCAGAACGTGGCTGTGGAAGATCAGCAGAGACCCCTGTCCACCCTCTCCCCGGGGAACCTCTCTGCCATGTCCAAAGACTTCTCTCACTTCTGCAAAATCTGGGAAATCTGCAAATCAAAAGGTAGAAATAATAAGTGTACAAGTTACTTTTACCTGGCGATCCGGAAACTTTTCATCCCTGAGCCATCTCCAGCTCAGAGATGTATATGAGGCTGGGCTTGGATTTTCATTTTTGTGTTCAGATGCATCAGTTTGTATCCAGGAAATGTAATGCATTCTCATAGCATCAATGTGCAATCAAGATCTGAAGCACAGCATCCTTAATTAGATTAATTCTTTACCATATCAAATACTGTTATGATAATGTAAACGAATACAGGTATTTAGTATCAACTGACTGTCCCTCCATCCTGTTGGTGGGTGGAATTTGGTTTAAATGAGATCATATTTGAGGGGATTCAAATGACTGCTGGGCTTTCATGCATAGCCACAAATTCTATTTCATGAACTTTAACTTTTTCTACTTGAAAATGCTTAGATACTAGGTGAGCTTCAATTTTGCTATTCCACAGCATTTAGTTTTGTTATTTATCCATCCTAAAAGTATAAGCCACCCATTCATACATAGCAAATAATAACATGCAGTTTATGACACCAATAAATTAGTTCAATGCAATGCAAAGGCATCCACACCTAAGAAACTCGAAAACTCTTAAACCAAACCTGCAAATTCTTACACCCTGGGAGCACTAGCTGGTTCACAGGAAACATAAAAACAAGTTTTGATGAACAGCTCGACCTGTTCGTCTGTCCTACAGAGGAATTCCTTGTGTTGAATTCCCATACTTTAATTTGGCAACTTTAGTAAGTGTTCGTGTTTGCTTACAGAAGAAGTTAGGAGTATCCACTGCCTGTAGATTATGATCTTGACTGCAGAAAATTTCTATTTGTAGTTAAATTGTGTTTACCACCCATCTTGTTTTCTTTAGAACTTTATGAACATGATTTATTTAGATCATGTTAATGCCGAGGAATTCTGTTTCTGTGTTTCACGGTGGCAGGCACCGAACAACACACAATTTATTCAACTGTTTGACACCAGTAGTGCTCGAAGTGGAAATGCCTAACTCCATATTTCTCCTCCTACTAGAAACTGAACAGCCAATTCCACTTTATGATGAATTATAAACTTTGCAAGGAATACAGCTGGCACTGTTCTAGACGCTGGGCTTTGCCTATACAGCGAATCATCGGTATTCCAGTACAGGCCCCAAATATCCTTTTTACTTTCCTTTTGCTTTTGCAAAACAGCATTTTTCGCTACTCTAGAGCTCTTGAAAAAGAGGGGTATGTCCGGAACGACAGCGCTTGTTAGACCATAGCAGCTTGGTGTGACTAGCAAAGCCCTTGCACCAGATTTACTCCATGTGCTGTTCCTACTTCATGATGTGGTTTTGGCACCATACAGAAGAAAAGCCAACTCCAAAAATCAAAGTCACAGCAAACTAACTTGCCGAAGGCAATGTCTGGTGAACTGACCTTTTAAAACAAAAGGGGCAAAACATATTTAACTCAAAGCATAAACAAAATAGCAGCCGGGGTGGAGAGCAAAGTTTAAAGAAGAAACACATGGAAGTGACGCAGATTTGTAGAACTAGCAACTCTTTCCTTGAGCATTTCAAGGTTCAAGAATAGATTTAATTTCAGGAAAACTGCTAATTGCCAGCATAAGAAAGTTGGAGACACTAATATTCACTGGAGATGCAAAAGCAGGCAGGGACCTGGCCTCAAGAAGTCTCAGGCTGCAATCCACCCTGCTCCTGAACATATCTTGCAATGCACACGTCTACTTTACCCTTGCATTTGTTTTCTGGTCTGTAAAATTGGAATGGGGACACCTGATGACGAGCATTTCGGGAAAGTTCTTGTAATGAAAAGCTGACTATTCTTCTTAGGAATACATTTGAAAGCTTTTGTCAACGATATTACATTTTTGTACAGTGAAACTTTGATATATCAGACAATAAGGAAGTTCATCTAATCATCTCGCTAATTCCGTAAGCTTGTCAGCAAATAAACTCTGAGATAAACGCTACGTGCACACATGTCCCTTCTCTCTGCCGTTGAAGCCACCATGCTGCAAACTAGCAACAAGGCTACAAAAGTAGATTTTTTGCAAGGCTCTGCTTTCTCCAAGCATCCTTCTTGCTCGCTATTTGGTTATTCGATTTGCTAGTCATGCAATATATCTCTGCAAGACGTGGTCTGTGCACGTAGAGATCTGCAGGGACTATGTTCTCCCACACGGACCACACGCTGCAACTTCTCAATGCCAGCGACCCCCAGGTGATAGAGGAATCTAATAAAACCTGCACTCGGACAGCCCCAATGAGTAGGATGCTCTTTGCTACCTCAACGCAAAGGAAAAAACCCACCCGATGGTAACTTCAGGTACCAAATAAATCATAGAATTGCTTAATATAGCCCTTGCAAACAAGTATAGCCTCTCCCAGTCATCTTCACAACGTGACACAACTACCAGCGTAACACAGCTAAACTCTGTGCGAGTGCAACAGATCAAACGGGAAAGGAAGGCAGGCAGGCGGAAAATGATCCTGCATTTAAAGAACATGGAATTTGCCTGGGGTGGGCAGGGGGATCGGGAAAAGGGGCTTCACTGGCACCGCCGCAGAGCTCAGAGGAGCAGCGCGGAGGCGACGGGGTGCA